TGTGTATGGTGGAGGTCTCAGGCCCTCTCCATGTTGCTTATGGTTTTTCTGAAGCATGCTAACTGGGGTTTTGCTGCCTTCTCCAGTTTGCTATTATCAGAGGTACACGCGGGGACTACGGGCTGGCCCCGCTCCTCTGAACCAGCCAACTACCCATTGCTTTCAGCAACTTAGGCTGTGCTGTGGCGGACATCAGAGGTTCAGGTCAGTTCCGTCCCTGCCTATTGGGTCCCGACCAGGAGTGTGACTCAGCCCAAGCAGGACCCACCAGTTCACTTTGGGCCGGGGTTGGCTGACTGATGCCACCTCGGCCCCAGACTAAGGCCTATCCTGCCCAACTCCAAGATGTCTTCCAGCCAGCCACACCAGCCGCAGAACCCAAATCCAGCATGCACCGTGAATTAATGCAGCTCTGTACCTTGGCTCCACTCTACGCTGTGCCTTGTCTTCCTGCCATGAGCTCGGGACTCACCAACTCCCGTTACTGGTGGCCATGGCTTCAGCGTGACCGTGGATCATCTGACTCCAGGGTGCACCCAGCACAGCACAGGACCAGTTCCAGTGTGTGCATCCGGCTCCAGCCCTCCACCTGCGTTTTTCTTTCCTCTTCCCGTTTTTCTTCTTCCTCAGTTTCCTCCTGTGTTTCGAGAATCCCTCTTCCCTCGTCCAGCCCTCTCCATGTTGTCAAATTCCAGCATTTGAGCTGTTTTTCCCAGAGAGGCTCTCCACCCAACTACCTATCAAGACACCATCTTCTTGTTTCTCCTCTTTGACTTTTTGATGGGGCTATCAGCCATGAGTTATGCAGTGATAAACAATATTTTTTCCTATAATGGATATTTCTCAGTGGCTAAATCCAGAGGAGACTTATTAAGTATTATTCTTAGTACCAATGGAAACAATGTTTATTAGATAAAAGTTTTGTAAGGAAATCATAAATCATCACAATAGTAAAGCAGCTGAGGCATATACAGTCTAACATTTCATACTTAATCTTAATATTTGAATGAAGATCACAAACAGTTTTTAAGTAGCCAAGCAGGTATATTTTCCTAATTTAAAGCCTGGATTATTTTCTAAAGGTGAAGCTGTCACCTGTAAAGGTGCAGCACATCTTCCTACAGATGGACTGAACTGCTACAGTTGTGTTTGCAATAATAAAACACACCTCTTTCTGAGTAACTAGAAAATGTAACTGGGAGTGCGCTGAGACATCAAGAAAGGACCAGTTTTCTATGCTAAAATTATCTCTTTGTAGCCAGTATACAAATACAGAAAGATGGTTAAATAGCAAGTTATCAGTGTTTTCATACCATTAAATATTAGTGAGTTGGTTGGAAATCAAAGGTTCCCATATAATGAAAGGCTCATAAATAGTTTTTAGGGCTGCCATAAAAAAGACATCTCCAATGCAGGTCTTACACAACTGAAATGTATTTTTCTGGAATCGAGTTGCTGGGAGGACTGATTCCTTCTGAGCACTACATGATAAGGACATGGGGCTTCTCAAATCATGGATGTTTGACTTCCCATTTCTCTTTTTCTCTTCATTCTTCATAAGGTCTTTGTCTTCTTTCTTCTTTCTCTCTTTCTTACTTTCTCTTTCTTTCTTTTTCTTTCTTTCTTTCTTTCTTTCTTTCTTTCTTTCTTTCTTTCTTTCTTCCTGTCTTTCTTCTTTCTATGAAGACATACCTAAAGATCTCCTTTGAATATTATTTTCTCTGTGAAGAGCATATCATTAAATAAGGCCACACACAAAGTACTGAGGCTAAAGAATCTTTCTTTTCTCTTTCTTTCTTTCTTTTTAGACAGCTTCCCTAACTCACTGGAGCATTCCCTTCTCAATCAAGATTCCAACTTGTGATTTTCCTGCCTCAGACTCCCAGTATGCTGGGATTGCAGGCATGTGCTAACAGCCTGCAGCTACCCCTTCCTTTTATCCTTGTCTTGTCTTTTTGATGTAGACACAAATCATTTTAAAACCTGAATAAGACTCTAGTCACTTTTGGATTCTAGGAAAGTCTTTCTTTGGATTATTTGGCACACCTGTTTAACTTTCTGAAAAGTGAACATCAAGAAATATGGTGATGTGCATCTCTTTCTCTTTTAAGAATTTAGCCTAGATGTCTGACTCTAAGCTGTACCTGAAATCAGGTATCATCTGGACACATTCAGATGATACATTCCTTAACAACAAAGCCTTTAAGTTGTCTTTTAGGAAAAGCCTTCAAAATCCACTGAAGAATGGTTCAGAACAGCCATTTCAAGAATACACACACACACACAAAAAAAAAAAATAACCAGCTTTTCAGGTGAATCATTTGACAATCCAAGCTCAAAATCTCCCATACTGAACATAAATCCTCTCTGGAAAAGCTACATTACTCATAAAAGATAAGATAACCCTCTAAATCAGCTCAGCTCAAAAGAGCCTTTTCTTGCCATCAAAGCAACAAAAAACTTCTCCCCTTCCTGCTTCCTGTAAATCCCCTATATCAACTGATTAAGAGGCAGATCTGAGATTTCAGCTCCTGACCTTACTGATCAACCCTACAGGAAATGTTCTTTTTCCCAAAAAAATTTGTGCTAGTGTTCTTTCTGTGTGTGTCAGGTACAGACCCTTTGTTTGTTGAAAAGATATAAAAGTTTTTGGATAAAGAGATGTACATACTTGCCTGGCAACATGTGTGTAGTTGATTATTAATGTGTATATAATCTATCCTGTCTTTGTAATATATTTAATGTCTCCTGTGACAATACTATTGAGTACTTATTCAAATAAAGCTGTTTCCCCCTTTTGTAGAGAGAATGGCTAATTTGGCAATACTCTCTGTTTTCATTTAATTTATCAACAGAGATGAAAACTTTATTTTGTTCTTTTTCGCCTAGTATGATAAACACAAAATTATCCATTCACAAATACTGAAAATGTCTTCCAAAATTCTGACAACAATGGCCTGGCATAAAGTTGAACCCATAGAATAGCATGTTATATTAGTGACAGAGTTAACAAATATAACTTATGCTTTTAAAATTACTTCTTTGAATACTAAGTGTATGTCAAATACCAGACTGTTCTGTATAGTTTATATGTGTGCTCACTTTGGCAGCATATATACTGAAAATATACATATTATGTGTATAATCTTTATAGTGGCATCATTATTTAGCTCCTACGAGTAGTGTTTAAATAATCTCCAGGTTGTGCACCTACAAATAATTTATCCAGGTTCCATTCCTCAAAAGTAGTGACAATTTTACCAATCTGTCTTCAAAGTCTTTATCACTAAGTGATCCCACCTCATCAGTTATGCATGTCTGATCATGTTAGCACCTATTCCACTAGATTCCTAACTGCTCCACTTATCTATAAACACTATGACAACTTATTCTGGCTTTTTAGCCCTCCTATGTTGTTAAAATGATAAGGCATAATGGAACTTGTCTGGGTTGAACATTATTGACCTTAAGTTGCTAATACTGCTCTGTCTTGATAGCCATAATCTTGGAAAAAAAGTATTCAATCTGTCTCAAACTCAGTTTTCAGGCCAGGAAGCAGGAGCATAACAATGATTTCTTTAAACTCATAAAAGAATGTGTTAAAACTGTATTAATACAGCATGTGTGACCAGCCTAGAAATAGGAATCAACAGAGAAGAGTGTAGAAAGAGCCTTAGCCACACAATATGCCTCCTAGATATTAGGACAACATCTGGAATGATAGTGTTGTCAAGCACTAAGAGCTGATCTCATGACCAACTTTCTGTTTAACTTACTTTGCCTTTTTGGCAATAATCAGGCAACCTATGTTTCATTATCATGAGATTTGTGATGAGCAAAAATGTTTTATATAAGTAATCTTTCTGGACTGGCTTTGATCTAAGATGTCAGGAACTGTATGTAGGTACAGCTAACTGATTATGATTAGAAATGTTATCATTCAACACAAACCTCCTCCTGTATGAAGGCACATACCATCTGAATTATCTATCTCATAAAAACCACCATAAATCATGTTCCTAGAGAGACTGCCCTTTGGGATGACAGTCTGCCATCTTCAGATCAGCTAGTTCATTAAAATAAAGTTCTTTCTCTACCACTCTCTTGTCTCTGGACTAATTGGCTTTTACCATGGAAAGAGCAAGACTGATCCTTTTGTGTAGTAACAATAGATAATCAAAGATTAAATTAAGTGAAATCTTGTGAAGATCATTTCCCCTGTTATATTGTTATAAGCAAAAAAGACAACATAAATTTAACATATTTTACATGTATAAATCTTTTTTTACATCTATGTCTCTCTAGTATCATACAAAAGCTGAATACAAAAATCATCCATCTCACGTTCAGTGTAGACACTGAGAATGGAAATCGAACCCTCTGTCCACCAGATATGATTGTGCGACTACACTGTCTTCTTAGCATCACTCTGATCACCTCCCAATACTGATAAAATCTCTGCTTTGAAACACCCTTATGAAATCAAATCTCCAATCCTCAATATGTTTGGATATTGTTCTCCTTGGGCATTGTCAAAGTTTTCTGGAAGCAGCACAACCCTTTACATAGGTAAGGAATGAATTTTATTTTGTCTCAGACTCAAGCTTTCAACAGATTAATGAACATCTTTGGACAATAAACACGCTTCTAAAATAATAAGCAAGTTTGCAAATTGAAATTATATAAATACAGTTCCCACAGTATAACAAATCATTGTTAATATTATCAGTAAAGCTGACATTGTAAGTACATATTTCCATTGAATTTACTTCTTTGATAAATTATGCAAATTATCTCTACCATATTTATTTGCAATAAAAATGGTTAAAATTTATCAATCCATTGTTTCAAAAATTATAAATTAGGATATTAGCCTCTAATTAGGAATTAAAACAAGGCTTTAGCTTTCCTACTTAATAAGTTTTCCTTCTTTATACAGATATTTCCAGAGTTATTTCAACAAAAATGGTTAAATCAGCCTTTCTTAACATGGGTCTTACCTTTTCCAGTTTTGAAAGAGCAAGTGAGTAACAGTCTTTGGCTCTGAATTGCATGAATCTCATGTTAGCTGGGTGAGTAAGCTCTGTAATAATACTGAGACTGGAGAACAACCTAAATTTCAAGAAAAAAAATTTGCATTACACTAACAGCCCAATATGGTATTTTTTATAATAACATATTTATGCATGAGTGATTGCTTGCCTTAGGCTTGAAAATATATCCAACTACAATCGCAAGCAGTGCCAGATAAAATGTTCTATACAACACAAGAACAATGAAATGCTATTTTTCAAAGGATATTTTAACTAACATTCAGTACAAGAAGTAAAACAAATTCAGTAATTTGGCTTCTGTTAGACAGTTTGTCTTATAATGATAAAACGGCATAGAGGAAACACTCCTAAAGCTAATTTCAGACATTATAAGATTGCTTTCCCAGTGACACTAAAACAAAAACTTGTAAGACAAATACGTTGACTGGTAAAAATATTACATATGAGGAATTCTTGTCCATTACATGAGCTCCTGAGCTCTTTGACATCACTCCTATTTGTACACTATTAGTGTATAATCCTTTTTTGGGGGAATACTGGGGATCGAACTCCTGATGTTACACTCATCCAGTGCATAATTCTTAAACATCATATCTTGACACAGAGAACTTTGGAGAAGAAGAACTATCTTAATTTTAACAAAATTTCACTCTAATAAATTGGTAGTAATTATAAAGCCTTAATAGTGGTGTTATAAAAAGATCCTGGAAATTTTCACATCTCTTATTTCACTTTCTTCCCACTTTGCCACCTTAGGAGTACACACACATATGTGCACACATACCACCACACACAAAATTTGTCTCTCCTGCAGGAAAAGGGCACAACAATTTCAATAATATGGCTCTATTTTCGCTACCATGGGTGATCTGATCTTTACCTTATAACTATGTGTCACTGATAGCTTTCATGGCTCACATTTTATGTAGCAGCTACTTCAGGGATGCTGGGTTTAGTTTCCTTAGAAGATGTCTTTAAAATACGGTAAAGTAAATTACAGCCTCGCTAGGTTGAACGCATCCTCTGACCCGAGTATTAACACTGACAGAATATGTGTAAAATATGATTTAAAAACAAAATGAACTGGTGCTGCTCGCATCTTATGATAGTTCCAGTAGTGAGGGAGCCCTGACTTTTAGCACCTGGCTTTGATGTCTTTCAAAAGAATGTGCTGCTCCTTTATTTATTTTTTTAAGTTTATTGGCACTTGTGTGTAGTACATAATGCTTGCATTCCTTGTGTGGAGTCAGTACCTCTATACAACACATTTTCAATTCTTTATTCCCTTTTCCCTTCCCACACTCCCGACTCCAGCCATGTCTGAGACTCCTGTGTCTGAGCCTTGATGCTACAGATAAGTTTTTACCTCTCCTCAGGTCTAATTGCACCATGCTGGTGGATGGAATGCTAGGACAGCTCCCTCCTGCCAGGCAGAGCAGGGCAGGCTGCTGCACAATGGCAGCCTGGGGGAGTCTGTCCCCAGACTTCCCTGATTACCTGCCTTTCAGGGCTGTTTCCAAGGTTCTTTAGTCATCAATCCAGGTAAGGCACTAAGCTCTTTCTTTCCCCCAGGATTTAAGATGAAACTTGTATGTTCTCTTGGATATCTAAATTAATTGATACTGGGGCTTCCTAATCGAGGACTTTGAGAACTGATCTCAAAAGGCCTCTGATGAAATATGTTGGAAGAAAAAGAAAGAAAGAAAGAAAGAAAGAAAGAAAGAAAGAAAGAAAGAAAGAAAGAAAGAAAGAAGAAAGCAAGCAACCTAGTATTAAAATGTTAATCTTAACTTTAACATTAATGCTATCTTATTTCTTGGTCTACCTGACTTGTAAGGGTATCTAGAATAGTATCAACAAAGCAATAACCGCAATATAACTTTTTGTTGATTTTATTTCATGCAAAAGTCGACACTGATATGAAATTCTAAGCTGAAGTTTGAGTTAGTTTTCTCAGAAACTCAAAAAATTTAGATATCAGATGGAGAAAAAAGTTACTTGAGTTTTTGGTCAACAATTCTAAAGCTTATACCATCTTGGAGTTTCAAAAGTATTTGTTTAAAAAGATATTTTAAAAAGAGAACTATCACTAATGACATTTACCATAACATGTTGTCACAAACAATACTCAGTAATCTGCATTGATAGAAACTAAAAAAATGAACAATAGCATCAAAATGGATCAACAAATATAGAGTTTCCTACCTCTATTTTGCTCTATTTTTTGAAATCCAAAAAAGGAAAATTAATGGACCCACATTTCCCCTCTTTGAGTTTTTCCTTTTTTTATCTTTTGGAAAATTAAAAAAAGTTCATAAAGTGACATGTAAAATTAGCAAAGTAACATTCTATACATTATTAATTTAATCTTCATATCACCAGGTAGAAATCTCCTGGTTTCTTATTTCCATCTGCACCTCCTTCCCAGGGAGAAAACAAAAGACCCTTCCTCAACCTTTCTCTGTCTTCAAGATGCCACTAGACTTGAGCCAAGCCACTCCAGGCCCGGAGCTCACCAGGGCAGAAAAGGCTAGTAATTGCCCTTGTGGATCCTGAACATAGTGCTCGAGGGCAGATTTTAAAAGCACACTATTGTCACCCACCAAAGTGACATCTTTCTGCCTGATGTTTCAGTCTCTACTCATCTATTCCTTTGGTTCTGGATAGTTTTCCACTGTGCTGAAAATCAAGAAAGTCACATTATGTCTTCAAGTCAGAGAAAACTGCAGCACAAAGAAAGGGAAATAATGTATGCAGAGAAATATGCTTGTGGTAACCTGTGGCCACACTGCAAGACTCAGTTTAATAGCTTTTTCTTACTATTATAATGAAGAGGCAGGCAGATCGTTGGACATGAAACTCAATCCCAATAAAATAACAAATGATTAAGAATATCTAGTACAATGTCAAGGTTTTACATATTGAAAATTGAAAGGGTTTTGCCCCATATGGGACTCTTAGCCAGTAAAGCCTGGGAGGCGAACCAAGGAGCTCTATCTTGGGCTCTATCTTCTCCGCCCCTAAAAATTCACCTGGGCGCGAAATGAATACCAGTGGGCTACCTGTGCATCCCTAATGCCCCTCAGGCACCACCCAAACCTAAGCTACATGTATGCCCCCACACCACGTGTCTGGTGGAGAGAATGCCAGACCCCGGAGGATGGGGGTCTTTCCCCACATTCTTAAAATAAAGGTCTTTTATTTCATATGTCTTATCTTTTCAGCCACGCCAAAATCCTATCAGATGGTTCCCTTCCGCGCTGAAAAATTCTATCAAAAATCACCTCTATTGTAAAAAATATATATTCTACTAACTCAACTACCATTAAATGATGTTTTTTAGGTCATAACAGCATCACAGGTATTTATATTATTGCAGACAATACTATAAATCTAATTTAATAAGAAAATCAAACTTTATGATTATAAATTTTTTCTAAGAGATAAAAAGATGTGTAAAGTAAAATTTTTGCCCTTAAAATAATCTATGATATCATAGAAGAAACTGTGAAAAATCATTAAGGATAAAATTGTTTATATTTTTTCATTTATGAATAGTTGTGGCTGAAAGAATCTTCATAGATTAAATAGGAGTAAGTGATAGTAAATGGTGAGCTTACGAAAAATATGTAGAATATTAAAGAGATATAATACCAGAGAAGAGATTTATCAGGCAAACATAACAATTTATTTCTTCTTTGAAACATTTTTGTTTTCCTTGGAAGTATGGTTTTTATCTTTTATATAGACATCATTTTAACTTTGAGTAAGTTTATTATTGCCTGTATTCTTTTGTTTATATTTCATTTCTAATACATATAAATTTTAAATATACACATATAATTAGTCAGTGTATTTGGTGTTTTAATAAGAATGAAAAGTAAAATTGTATGACCCAGTTATTTTATGTGGCTTCTACAGTTGACATTAGAGAGGAAAACAAAATTTATGTGATACACCTGTCATTTCTGTTCATCATTAATGAATGTGCATTAGGAGCTATTTTAAATTAGGAAGCTAAATACATTAGCTAAGTCTGCCACCTAGTGAAAGTTTAGAAGTAGCACATATGAAGTATTACAATGCTTTTTACATCTACAAAGCAACAAATATATCAAATTTTGATTTTTAAAATTACAAATTCGATTGTCTAATATATATTATTATATATTTTAAAATCGTAACACTAAAATACATTTCTGAGCAATAATATTTCCTAAAACATAAAATAGTTTAGAAGTAAAATACATCTTTTTTCTGTAAGTACTGACATCATGACAAAGCAAAAATTTACTCATAATTTAAAAATAATGGCTTGTTTCACTTAAAAATTTTCAGCAATTAAATGCTGTCCTGACTGTTTGATGTTAGGTGTAGCTGTGGAGATGTGTGAAATATCAGTGGAATAGTTATTTTTGGCATATCCCGTTATGCTTAGCAATATGAAGATTAAAAATAATTTTTTTATGGTTTGTACCCCAATACCTAACATGTCGAAGGCTTGGTTTCTAGCTGAGAGGGTCCTCAGGAAAGGCAGAACTTTTAAGACATGGGCCCTGGTGGGAAGGAGGGAAGTCACTGGAGTATCCCTCCGGCGATATGGGATCTTGGTCCCTCCTCTTTTATCTCTTTACTTCCTTCCTGCGGGAGGGGATCAGCCCCCTCCACTCACTCCATGATATCCTGTCCACTACAGGCTCACACAGAAGGGGACAAATAAGCACTGCCTAGAACCTCTGAAGCCATGGACCAAAATAAATATTTCCTTCCTCAATTTATTTCTTTCAGGTATTTTGTCATAGCAATTTAACACTAACGCAGAAAATCTGTTGCCACTGCATTCAATGATATGGTGCAGAAGTGCTTTACTGGGTCTATGAGAGGAATTTGGAAACATATAGAGAAATCCGCTAGAGAAAACCTGAAACGCTGGAAGCAGAATTTAAGGATAACCCTCCAGGGAGCTCAGAGACAAGGGTACTCAGAGAAGTACAGACAGCAAAGGGGGTGCTGATGAGGTTTCAGATGGAGATGAGGATTTTATTGGGAACTGGATTA